AACCCTAATTTGGGGTTTATCGGGATCGCATCGGGATTAATTAATGAACTCAGAATATTAATTAATAATCATTGCAATCAACCTAAGTCAACATTGGACTTAATGGATTAAGTCCTTAGTGGGTTAAGTCCTTAATGGGTTAAGTAGGAAACTTAACCCTAATCGTCATTTTATGTGAAACCCTAATTTCACTTGGGTTATTAATGGGCCATCCAACGTCAAGCAATTGGACTAGGATAATTTAATGGGCCTAGGGTAAGGCCCATGTAAGGGGTTTGGGCCCAATTTGGAAAATTGGGCCATAGATGGGCCATAGTTGGGCCTTAATGATTACATGATGTTGGGCCTTAGAATAAGACCATGTATAGACTTGGGCCCAATTTGGAAAATTGGGCCATATGTTGGGCTTTGATTTCTAATTGACTTTGGGCCTATGGATTGGGCCTTAGGCTTACATAAAGCCAAGCTTGGGGTAATGTAGTAATGATCCAAAGTATGTACTCATGGTTATGTAGTGGAACCCAATTATTAATTGGGAGTTATTTTGGTGTTGACGGTTCGGGAATCTGTCATCCAGCAGTTGGGGTTAAGTCTGCGGGACTTCAGCAGTGTGGGATTGTGTCTACGGGACTTCAGCAGTGTGAGGTGAGTTACCTTCCAGTAGCGGTGGGTCTACGGCCACAATGCCGACCCACTAGTAGGAGTTGTATGTTAGATGATTGTCTTCGTGATATTCATCTAGGTTTGCTACTACCTGATATATTATGTGCTAGTATGATATGATGTTAGCAGTAGGGGAGATAGTCCCCAAGATTTCCGGTCGATAGGGCCGAAGGGGGTAGTCATACCCAGCCATGCTAGATAGAATATGATTATGTGTTACATGTTATGTGGTAGTAGTAGTGGGGTGAAATAGTCCCCAGTATCCGGTCGAGAGGACCGAAGGGGAGACCAGCACCCAGATATGCTAGGCAGTATCCGATCGAGAGAACCGAAGGGGAGGCCAGCAGCCAGATATGCTAGGTAGTATCCGGTCGAGAGGATCGAAGGGGAGGCCAGCACCCAGATATGCTAGGCAGTATCCGGTCGAGAGGACCGAAGGGAAGGCCAGCACCCAGGTATGCTAGGCAGTATCCGGTCGAGAGGACCGAAGGCGAGGCCAACACCCAGGTATGCTAGGCAGTATCTGGTCGAGAGGACCGAAGGGGTAGGTCGGACACCCAGATATACCTGGCAGTATGTATGATTATATGTATTTGTATGGTATGTGGTATGATGGGGGAACTCACTAAGCTTCGTGCTTACGGTTTACAGTTTTGGTTTCAGGTACTACTTTTCAAAAGAAAGGAGTCGGCTTGATCGCAGCGCATCACACTATGTTTTCCGCACATGAGATCTTTGGGGTTACACTCTGATATGGTTTTATGATAATATGTTTTGATTACTGACACTTTGGTTTGACACGAGATATTATTATGAATGTTTTTATACTGATGGTTTTATGTAATAACTTATTTAAAAATGAAATTTTTGGCCTTGAATTTTGGGATGTTACAGGTCTTAGGCCGCTTCGGCACCGGCTGTGCCTGTGTCGGGGCCCGACCTCGCTCTCTCAGCTGTAGCTCAATCTCAAGCTCACGCGGCCTAGCGGCCTCCTGTAAGTCCAGAAGTGTATCACAACGCTGGGTCGCCACAAACTTTCGAATATCAGTCTTGAGCATGCTCAGATAACGATTCATCTGAGCTTGCTCAAAAGAAAACTCCGGGCAGAACATCGCCCTCTCAGTGAGCATGCGAGTGATCTCCGTCACCGTCTCACCATCCTGTTTCAGATCCAAAAACTCCTGAGCTAACCGTTCCCGCTTGACTCGTGGAATGTAACGAGCGTGAAACATATCCCTGAACTGCTCCCAAGTAAGAGCATCTCTCTGCTCATCCGAATACGACCCAGTCATCAGTCTGCACCAGTCCTTTGCCCCAGACCTCAGCAGGTTCAGGGCACATCTGACCTTCTGGTCAGTAGGACATGAACATGTGAAGAAGCACCCATCCACATCAGATAACCACCTCATAGCATTGATGGGATCCTGAGTCTCATCTAAAGTAGGGGGCTTCGTGTTGTTGAAGTCCCGATACTGAAAAGCCCGGCTGGCTCCCAACCCTGCCGTCGATACAGCTGTTGTGGCTGCTGCGGCAGCCGCCTCAGTGAGGGCTGCATAGCGATCATCAAAGTACTCCACCATAGCGGTCTTGTGATGATATATGGTTCATTAGCATGGCCTAGACTGCTCTAGCGCGCCAGCCTGGCCTGGCGCGCTCCTGTCAGCCTTGCCTGGCGTTCCCTTGCCAGCCTTGCTGGGGACTCTCCTGTCGGCCCGCCTGGCGCTCCCTTGCCTGACGCCCTCCTTGTCATCCTTTCCTGGTGCGCGCCCCCGCCAGCCCCGCCTGGCGCCTCCGGGCGGCCTTGCCCAGCTCCTTGCTAGTTGGGCCTGAACTGGGCTGGCCCAAGGCCTGACCCAATTCCCCTTGACCTAATTGTCCACTATAAATAAAATAGTGCCTCCTCCATGAAGGGGGACCTTCCTAGAACCTTTCCCTTAGACCTCTCCTAGACCTTTTCCCGGACTCTTCCCCATGGCTCAGCCGCCACCCACCGCCGTCAGCCACCATACACCACCACCAGCACCAAGATGGTTCTCTCCAGCTATGGAGGACCATCTCAGATCTTTCAGATGATCTAACTTGACCGTCGGAGTCCGCTCCCGGGGCACAGTCCCTGGGACGGCTCTAACGACTTTGCACTGTGATGTCTAGATCTCCGCCGCATCAGAAGACCAGAAGACTCGCCGGAGGTCGATGTCGCATCATTTGGCGCCATCCCGGACTCGAACGAGCATAAAGTTCTTGTCTAGATCTGCTGAGATCTGTCGTTTCAGCTAAGGTTTTCCTCAGATCTGTTCATTTCTAGCACCATTTTGTTCAGATCCGTTTGGCTTTGGCCAAGATCTGTTCAAATCGACTTAGTTCTTGACAAGATCTTTTCAGATCTGTCTAACCATCGTTCAGATCTCTTGATATGCTTAGTTTTATGCACAGATCTTTTGATTTGCTTGTTTTTTTGCTCAGATCTTTTGATCTGTTTGAGTTTTCTCTCTTAGATCTTCAGATCTGCCTTGTTTTTTCCTCAGATATCTAGATATGTTTTGTTTTAGTTCATTAGAGCAACCCTCAAGTCTTAAAAGACTTTATCAGATCTCATTTTCATCTATATTTTGATGGATTATTCAGAAAGTTGGGGAGAAAAGAGATTTCTATGAGTTCTTCTCCATCTTTGTTCATATTTTCGAATTTTATTCAGCAAGTTGAAGAACAAACAATATTTTGCAAGTTTTTACTTCTTTTGCTTGCTCATTTTTGAGAAAATCGGTCTTTGTTTTCTGATTTCTCATGTGCAACTTCATTTAAGTTGTTTATTTGGTGCTTCCTCTAGAAGCTTAGAGATGGAAAACAAAAGATTTTCAGATTTGTTGAGCAAGCTGAAGAATAAAGAAGGTTTAGTGAGGAAAAAACCTTGTTAGATCCGTTTTTTGTTTATATTTTGGGGTTTCTTCAGTAAGTTGAAAAGAAAAGAAGTTCTCTATGAGTTCTACCCCATCATTTGTTCAGATCTTCTTGGTTTTTCCAAGATCTGTCCAAGTTTGCTTCACAAATCTTTGGATCTGTAGATCCATTTCGTATTTAGTTCAGATTTATGGATCTATATGATATTTCTTCACTCAAATACTCCCCAAGCTTGCAAAAACCTTCTTAGATCCGTTTTTGTTTTCATTTTGGGGGTTTGTTGAACAATTTCAGAAGAAAAGAAATTCTTATGAGTTTTTACCTCATTTTTAGTTTATGTGTTATAGAAAAACGATTTTTATAAAGAACTTTAATTCCTGAAACATTTATTTGTACATATAGCTGTGTAGCTTGTACATTTTACAAAACTCTTCAGGAAGAGAAAAGAGAGAAGAAGAGTTTCTTTATGGGTTCTATCCCACTTTCATTTTATATGTTTCCAGAAAATTTCATTTAGTTTATGATTTTCTTTATACAAGTTTATCCAAGTTATTTAAAAGCTTGAAGAAAGAAATAATTTAGTTATAAGCTTTCTCAAGTTTGTATTTCCATATGAATATGTGTTTTTACCATCCATTTCACTTCATATTAAAATTCATTTCAGTAATGATTTTTGGGATACAAGTGTGTTTAAGTTGTAAACACAGCTGTGGTACTTGTATATTTCAAAGTTTATTTTATTTCAGAAATTATATTTACCATCAATATAGTTCCATCCCATCAGTAAAAAAAGAAAAAAAAAAAAATGAAGAGGAGTTCTACTACAAGAGCAGCTCTGTAAAAAGAGATTCATACAAAAAATAAGAGGTCTATATAAAAAAAGAAAGGATATATTTTTACAGTTCACATTTATAGCAGACTATACAAAATAGTACAACAAGTAGCTGTCAATTCTAATCCTACAGTCGACAAAGAAAAAAAGAAGGGATGGGTGGTAACTAGCTGTACTACCTATTCTCTGCTATTACATTTTATACGGGTCCCACAATTATAAAGCTACCAAAAGTCAACTGGAAAAGACAAAGACCAAGATTGGGACCCACCAGGCCTACCTCTCCAGCTGATGTGATATCCCGATATCCCGATTTCATCCCATCGTCGACTCCAAGGACGTTTCCCCCAACAACTGGGCACCTTCATCGGACAATCTCCAGTCGTTGGTTATCTCCAGTCAACAACCCAACAAATCGATTTTGAAGGCAAGCTAAACCCGATCATCACCTGCCAACCACTTTCAAGATAAGGTGACCCAAGAGAGCAGCACCACTAGTCCTCTGTTTTCTCGGACAGTCATCGTCGGCCGGAGCCACAGCATCACCGCAGGCTTCGCCAGTCGATACCACTCTAGCCGATCGTCACCACTACACAACCTCCAGCCATCAATCGGGGCCACTTGACGCAATTAACTTGCATCGCCGACAAAGCTTGCTGCTCCGATCTCCTTCTATGTACAAGCGACGAGTCCGGTGAGAAATCAACAAAGCATCGCCGTCTGACTGCTCCTTGCTGCCGAGCACCTCCAACCGTCGACCCAACGGCTCCAAATCTCCGGCGACGAACCACCAGGACCATTCGACGTTTGTATTTGATGGAACTCTAGCAAGATGCGATCCTTGATTTTGTTCGTTCGACGTTGAGCTGATAGATCCCTTTTCTTCAAACCTGGAAAAATGGTGGGGCACATCTATACCCTTCATACCCACGTTCTACAATCAGCCCACACACACAAAAAGAAAGAAAATTAGGTTGACCATTTCTTAATTGGGCTACAGCAAAATACCTTGGGCTTTTCTTAAGTTTTTTATGGGCCATCTCATATGTGGGCTAATGTTGCAAAACAAGACCATCGGCTCAAAGCTTGCATGTTGCGTTTCCACCCAACGAAATGCGTTTTTTTCAGAATACGCATTGCAACCGAAACCACTCGTCATTTCAAAAAAAAAAGGAGAATCATAAAGCAATAAGTTCCTGATCTTTTTCCCTTTGGGGGCATTTTCCTAACAAATCATGTCTCTTCGAAACCTGATGCAAAAGAAAGAGAAAAAAAAAAGAGCAACAAAATCTGTTTGGGAGAGTCTCCGAGAAGTACAAGATCAGTCGCTGCTTTTCCCTTTTTGGTATTTCTTGACGGCAAATCAAAGTAGCCGGCAAGTGTTTTTTCAAAAGTTATTATGAAGCATTGTGGACCCTAGGCTACGTGTGATTTCATTTGTGTGTGCTTGGCTCACGCATAAAACAAGAAAGAAGTGAATGGATCTTGGGCCATTCATTCACAAAGTGGGCTTTGCTAATTTATTTTGGGCCTCTATTATATTGGTCTCTTATTTTAGTCGGCTAACATCAAGGAAACGGCCCAATTTTTACAAAGAATATATTAGCCAATCAACCGTTCAACGTTTAAGTATTACAATCTCGTCCAACAAAATCCAAGTGTAGAAGATGCATTACGACTCACTTGACGCTTTAAACAAACAAACAAACAAACAAAGTGTTAGCATTTTGGCCCACAATCAAATAAATGGGCCGCAACACTCCCTTTGAGCTTTTCTTGGGTCTTTTTATGGACCACCTCAACAAGATATGGTTTAATTTTGCAAGAAAATAATCAGCAAATTAATGCTAGCATACCGTAAGCTCCACTCAACATAATATGTTTCTAGAAGACGTGTCGTGACTTGCACCACTCAAATAAAAAGAGGGAGGGAGAAGAGTAGTACACTACTACTACTCGTGAAGCGTTCTGAAATAACCTTCAACAATTGTGTTGCTCGGCTATCAGCAACTATGTTGACCAACTTCAGGAAGTCTCGCTGCTCAACTCTGAACAGCCGCACTGCCTGGACATTAGCAGTCGTGTAGCCCGACCCTCACCGGCCATGCGACCCAGCTCAGCAGCTGCAAAGCCTTGTCATCAGCAGTTACGTTGTTTGACTCCCAGTAGTCGTGCCAGTTGCGCTGCCCATTTTTTGTTGGTACTTGGGTCGTTTAGCTTTTCTCAGTAGCTGTGTCGCCCAATTTCCTGCAACTATGCACCCATCGTTTCCATACCTCGCCTCCTTTAAGAAAGAGGGGGGGGGGGAGTAGGGTGGGTACGACACTATGAAGAAGTGATTTTCAATCCGAAGGGGCAGAGTTAAAGTACATGAAGAACTGACACTATGCATGACGGTGCATCCCCGAGGTGACATTGGTACTCCAGATTGAAAGAGTAGCCTCGTGGTCCAACTCTCAATAGTCGTGTTACTCACCTATCGCTAGCAGCTCGATGCTCAGTTCTCAGCGGCCCTGATGACGAGCTCTCGACGACTCCATTATAGCGGCAAGCTCTGCATGCGAGGTTTAGTACCCTCGCCTCGAGTCGCCTGACTTCTCAGCCCGACTCCATTATAGCGGCAAGCTCTGCATGCGAGGTTTAGTACCCTCGCCTCGAGTCGCCTGGCTTCTCAGCCCGACTCCATTATAGAGGCAAGCTCCGCATGCGAGGTTCAATACCCTTGCCTTGAGTCGTCTGGCTTCTCAGCCCGACTCCATTATAGCGGAAAGCTCCGCATGCAAGGTTCAATACCCGAGCCTTGAGTCGTCTGGCTTCTCAGCTCGACTCCATTATAGCGGCAAGTTCCGCATGCGAGGTTCAGTACCTTTGCCTCGAGTCGCCTGGCTTCTCAGCCCGACTCCATTATAGCGGCAAGATCCACATGCGAGGTTCAGTACCTTTGCCTCGAGTCGCCTGGCTTCTCAGCCCGACTCCATTATAGCAACCTGCTCCGACCATTCCATGCGACGCTCTTCCGCGTGATTTATCTACGATCGCTAGCAGCCAAGCCCGATCCATTCCACGCGATGCTCTTCCGCGTGATTTATCTACGATCGCTGGAAGCCAAGCCCGATCCATTCCACGCGACGCTCTTCCACGTGATTTATCTACGATCGCTGGAAGCCAAGCCCGATCCATTCCACGCGATGCTCTCTCGCGTGATCTATCTACGATCGTTAGCAGCCAAACCCGATCTGTTACACGCGATGCTTTCCCGCATGACATCTCCATGTTCGTTGGCTGCTAAGCACGAGCTATTCTCCTAAGTCGCGCAACATAAGTCGCGCATCGTCGCGCACCATAAGTCCCACATCACAAGCTTATTCCACGTCTAACACCATGATCTCGGTGTTTCCTCTCTCATAGTCATCATGGTTCTCTTGTGATCGGACGATCGATGAAGTGTTATCCACATTACATCCTGCTATAGTGAGGATACTCTCCAGCAAGAAGGTCATCCCGACAGCGGCCCTGTTACCTACGACCCCACAACATCTCTGTTTCCTGGCTTTCATAAATGGTCTTGCTGTGCAACCCTACCTGTAGCCTCGTTGCGTATCCCACAACACCTCTGTTTCCTGGCTCTCGGAAATGGTCGTGCTGTGAAACCCTACCTGTAGCCTCGACGCATAGCCCACAACACCTCTGTTTCCTGGCTCTCGGAAACGGTCTTGCTATGCAACCCCATACATCTGGCCTCACCGCTTATCCCTTAGCACCTCTGCTGCCTGGCTCTCGGCAACAGTCTCACGGTATATTTCCTATCAATAGCCTCATTGCCTGTCCCACAAGAATTCTGTTGTCTGGCTATCGACAATAGTCTCACCGCGTGACCCTCGCTAGCAACCTAGTCGCCCAGCTCTCGGAATCTCTTCCACTTATATTATGGTCAACAACCTTACGGTTTATTGGTTTGACAACATAGTCCGATGCGGCTACCTACGCTACCCACATCAGACTGGGGGGAATCCAGCTAGGTGTAGCCCAAGCAAGAAATACCTCCAAGACGGTTATTAATGCAGACTATGTAGATGGTTATCGGTGACATTCCATTTGCGCGTAACTACAACAACATCTGTGCTGAATAACAGTCTCAGAGACTGCATGGCGAGGTTACGCCTCTCAGCTACCTTGGCCTGACATTTTATCGACATCAATGTCGCGTAACACTCTTTACCAGCCTCGGTCTGCATTAACGCAACAACAGTTACGTTGCATCGCACCGATCGGCTTGCACTCCTCTCAAGAAAGGAGTATCAAGTTAGCTCAAACTGCATAAGCAATGTTTGGCTCTTCGCACAACCCCACGACTCTCGTGGGCGAGGTTCGGTCATTCTCTCTATTATTTAATGCTTTGGTGCTTTATCTAGTCCAATCCGATTGCCAGCAACCCAATCGCATCAGACTAGGGGGACTTGACGACGCACAGTTTATATGACTAGTTCCAGTCCGATGTCATTGGCCGCGTACCAATAACACCAGACTGGGGGGACTTGATGATATATGGTCCATTAGCATGGCCTAGACTGCTCTAGCGCGCCAGCCTGGCCTGGCGCGCTCCTGCCAGCCCTGCCTGGCGTTCCCTTGCCAGCCTTGCTGGGGACTCTCTTGCCAGCCCTGCTGGGGACTCTCCTGTCGGCCCGGCCTGGCGCTCCCTTGCCTGACGCCCTCCTTGTCATCCATTCCTGGTGCGCGCCCGCCAGCCCCGCCCGACGCCTCCGGGCGGCCTTGCCCATCTCCTTGCTAGTTGGGCCTGAATTGGGCTGGCCCAAGGCCTGACCCAATTCCCCTTGACCTAATTGTCCACTATAAATAGAATAGTGCCTCCTCCATGAAGGGGGACCTTCCTAGAACCTTTCCCTTAGACCTCTCCTAGACCTTTTCCCCAGACTCTTCCCCATGGCTCAGCCGCCATACTATACTCCGGCCAGGTGGCTCAGCCGCCACCCACAGCCGTCAGCCACCATACACCACCACCAACACCAAGATGGTTCTCTCCAACTATGGAGGACCATCTCAAATCTTTGAGATGATCTAACTTGACCGTCGGAGTCCGCTCCCGGGGCACAGTCCCTGGGATGGCTCTAACGACTTTGCACTGTGATGTCCAGATCTCCGCCGCAGCAGAAGACCAGAAGACTCGCCGGAGGTCGATGTCGCATCATCTTGATAGACCCAAAAATCTCCAGCAACTGATCTGGCCTCATCTGTCTGATAGTCTCGGGCGCTGTTGGCACGTCTTGTCCGCCCTCTCCTGATCCTGACCCGAATCCAGTCACGAATCGACGTGTAACCACCATGCTGAAAACATACAAAAAAGATATCAAATATTCCACATAACAATCTGGGAACCAACTCCCAACCAAAACCCTAGGGTTGTGACTTCCTTGCTACGAGTATGGGTCATGTGCTTTCAATAGTACGGGCCCATACTACCTTCCACACCTACCCATATTTGTCTCAAGTATCATCACAACGCCCTAAAACTATACATAAGCATGACATGCTCTCAGTCCTCACTCCTAGAGGAAGGATAAATATCTCAGAATCGGCGGACTCATCCCAAACAACCTACCCATCCATGAAACTTCCACCAACCCTGCAACACTCGTGTATGCTAACCACACATAACGTTGGACCCTATAGACTTCCGAATACCTGATCTTACCCTAAGCCCTTCATCAAACAAGAACAGGAAATAAGGCCAAACCAAACAGTATCAGGCTATAATATCTTAATTATGTACGGCCGTGATGCATACACTAAGCAACTACAATAATGATGTCAATTTCATATAAGGAAAGACCCTAGGCTATCAGACATCATATAATCAGGCAATTCTATCATGCAATTCCTGAAGATCCCTAGCCTAGTCCTAGCATG